ACACCGAATTTGAATATTTTAACTTTTTAGCATTTTAAAGTAAATTAGTTACCAGTCGTGAAGTGAACTTTCGCAGAGGTGAACAACTTGTGTTTCGCGCGCTCATATGACCTTAGCAGTTGCGAGCGCCGTAAAACCTTATACTACTACTACTACAGAAGTGCGCCACTGGTAGGTAATACGTCTTGACGTTCTCTCTGTTCTTTCATCTCTCTGTCTTACTTTTTCTTAGCATTACATAACCATTATTGCGTCGATGTGCTGCTTCTCTTTACTCGAACAAACAAATATCAAGCTGAATGATGCTTTCTAGTTCCCTCCACCCGTTCACCATCCAACCTCCAGATGTGTGGTTGACGGGTGCTCTGGCATGGTTTGCTCCTTCTTTCCTATTGAGCATCTATCGTCCTTTTCTCTCCTCCTTCTCATTTTGTGTTTGTTCTCTCTTGTAACTCCTCTAATCTTCATCACTTACATGACCTTATTGTGTTGATAGTGCTGTAAACTTTTACTATAACAAATCTACCTCCAGGTCTCCATAGACTTCAGTGTCAACAAGTCTGAGCCTCATCGTAACATTTCTGTTCAACTGACCGCGGACGCTAACTCCACCGTCAATGTCCTGGCTGTGGACCAAAGTGTACTGCTGCTCAAGACCGGAAATGATATCACAGCCGAGAAGGTAAAAAGGGGGCGTGGTGCGGTTGTTGGGTAGGGCTTGGGGAGGTGTAAAGGGAGGTAGATCGAGTGAGTGAGTGAGTGAGTGAGTGAGTGAGTGAGTGAGTGAGTGAGTGAGTGAGTGGGCGGCTAAGTGAATGAGAGAAACAGAGAAAGAGAGACAGACAGACAGACAGACAGACAGACAGACAGACAGACAGACAGACAGACAGACAGACAGACAGCCAGACAGACAGACAGACAGAATGAAAGAGAGAGAGAGAGAGAGAGAGAGAGAGAGAGAGAGAGAGAGAGAGAGAGAGAGAGAGAAAGCGTCAATGGCATAGCCGTTAACTAGAGCATGCTGCTGTTTTAAATTGGAAGGTCGGGTATACTTTGTGTTACTGCAATACGTTCGGTAAACGTTCTGTTCCCAGCTACATTACGTCGGGTATACTTTGTGTTGCCGGCTATAGTACGTCAGGTATACTTTATGTTGCCGGCTATAGTACGTCAGGTATACTTTATGCTACTACAGTGGGTCAAGTAGATCTATACTTTGTTACTACTTGCAGAACGCCAGTTATAGATCTGATCTACTTCGCGTTTCAGATTAACTTCTTATTCAGTATCAATGAATTCGTTCGCTTATCCATTCTCTCAGAAATAATAATCTCTATTTTGTCTCCC